TGGAATTCCAGACAAGATGTCAACGTTGGGAGCGACGTAAAAAATTGAGGAAAGTTGTGTTCTACCCTCAAGGTACCTTTGGGGTCCCCTTGGTAGGACTAAACCATTGTTCATCGGTTCCTTACATTTCGTTGTGACTAAAAACATGCATAACATTTGCATCGTTTATATATTTACTTTGGAAATAAAATACTTTGGTTATCAAATGTTTAATTATTAGTGTATAACATTTTCATAAAGTCCGTGTAATCACATGACAATCTTGTCTCATGTGTCACTTTTATGACATGTGTTCCATGTTCCAGAGTGAAGTAATATGGACTTATCCCAAATTGGATATTTTTTTGAAGAGCATAGATGAATAGGATTAGCATGAAGCGAAACACTAATGTGAGTTTTTTTTTGGAACAATGGCGACTTTGTATTCCTAATGTTGGTATGACTAGTGAAATTTTGTGACCATCGAATTGGACTATTTATGTGAAAATTGTGTTTTGTGTACTTCACTTCTGTTAGAAATGATATTTCTAAACTAATGTCTATATTTTATGCTAATTCTCTATATGAAAAGATGGGTATTATAAAAAAAATTACGAAATTTTGAGAAAACTATTTTTTTTTACTGAAATGTAGCGTACAATTTCACAAGGTAGATGTCGTTGAATATCGGTGATTAGTCTAGAACATTGATGTTGTTGTTGGAACCCGTTGCACCAAAAAATACATGTCATATCCAAATATCATAGGACACCACTACTCTAAACTTATCGTCGGTTGGTTCTAATCACCTCGCATAAAGTAACAGCGCCACACACTAGGGCACATTGACCACCCCCATCAGTCAATACTACCAAGCATTCTACGGAACCCATGCTTGTTTTCATGTGTTGTGTATAGTTAGTGGATGTCGTCATTTGTAGGTCTGCATAAATAACGACCATGATAGAGGATAATCACAACTTTAGCAAACTTGTATAGACATTCTCATGTTGTTTGCTCCGACATCCTCAAATACTCATCCCATGAGTCTGGTCCCATGCCGAATGCTAGTTGACAATATGCAATTATATATTTTTGAACTGTAGAGATAACTTTCTGTCCTCTTGCATAAATTCTATGCTTAAAATATGGAAATTGATTATTTATATCATCAATAAGCAATAGAAATAATTATTTCCTCATCTAGAACCGACGTCTGAATTTTTTTTAGCATAGACTGCATCATCGTTAAAGTATTCATTCACAAGTTGGTTGTGCCCAACTTCACAACTTCTCTGTAAAGGAGGATTTCTAATTTTTAAACACAGACTTTTGGCTTAATTTTCTTGTAGACAAGCGAGTGTTATTCGCATAATGTCCCGATAAAATTCGTTTCCCTAACGCCAATGTATCTGACGAAGTGGATGACGATGAAGACACTTTTGAATTGTAAATCTAAAGTATATAAAACTGTTTGGTGTTTGTTTTGTAGTTTGAAAAAAAAGTGTAAGTGTTTATTTATAAGAGAGGAAAAAAATAAAAAATAAAAAAATTGAAAATTACCAATTAAAAAACGTTCAAAAAAAAGTGTGCAGCATAGCTTTCTCATGCAGTGGCCTTACCGCACGGCGCACCTCCACCCACTGGACAACGTCGTGTTCAGTGTACCACTGTGGTGACACATCACCACCGTAGGATGTGGTAGAGATGCACTCTGACCGGTCTAAACAATCTAAAAGTTTAAATGTCGATTCCGGAGTCTAGTCATGATGATTATGACCTAACTAAATATAATAATGTATGTGAAAAGAAACCCTTTAAAACTTCAGTAAAATACACAAATCATCCCTATAGTTTAGATAATTTATGTTTCTGGACCTTGACCTTTTTTCATTCAGATCATCTTTGTTTTCTTTTCTTTTCTCATGATTTTTCATCTATGTGACATATTATATTGTCCTTAGTTATACCCTTTGGATTTGTATATTTCCTTTTCAATTTATTTGTTATTTATTTATTATGTATAATATTAAATAAATAAAATGATATCTCTTTCTATGATTCTCTCTCCATCTATTTGTGCCATACATTCCATATTACCCACCTAAACCTGATATTCTCTCTCTGGTGATACTCATTGTTGACAACATCTTATCCCACCATAATCGGACCACCTCCAAGCGTCTCTTACCCCTTTGCTTGTGGGATTGAATGTTGCAGGTTCGTCTATGCCATTTCTTCAAGTTGTTTGGTTGTTGCAGTTGGTCTTTTGTAGGTTCTTCAGATTCTTTGAATGTGGATTTCAATTATAATTGCTAAGTTTGGTTTTCAAACTCGGGATTTGTTGAAGAACAAGGGTGGTTGGGTTGCAGATGGTTTCATTGGAGATGGAAACAATAAGGGGGCAGTGACAAGTACGTGAATGATGGGACTTTTGGAGTAGTATGGGAGTGGGAGTGGGAGTGGGAGTAGGGAGGGGTGGAAGGTAAATCTATAAATAATAATGATTTAAAAAAAAAGGATAAGTGTAATATGGTCATTTCATGTCTGACAATGACGCAAATCCGCAACAAAAAAGTACCATCGTGACGGTCTGTATAAAAATAGATAGAGACTAAATATGTAGATTGTTCGTCTATATATATATATATATATATATATATATATATATATATATATATATATATATATATATATATATATATATATAAGAAGAAGAAGACAGTGACTAACTGTGTAGATTATCCGAAACCGTATGAACTATGGGAAAATACCAGCTATAGTCATTTTTAGGGGGTATTTCAAAATTTAGTCACAAAAAGAGACATTTCCGGCTATAGACATGCATTCCGCGGAGGACCCTCTACGGGCTCCACAGAACGACGATTTCTCCGCGGAGAGGGGGTATTTTCGTAATTCCCCCCCCCCCTCCCCTCTTTGACAAAATTGGGTCTCCTCTTTGGTACCCCACTGGTCCCCCCCCCCCCCGATTCCTCTTCCAACTTCGACTTTTCCTCCCATTTCCGATCGTGTCTCCGCATCATTACACTTTTTCGATTTTACGGCGAGAACAAGTTCAAATCCGACGACAAGGAGTTGAACGATGTCATTTTCCGGCGACCACGATTTCAAGCAGCAAAATCCGACACCGATGGAGCGCAATTTTTCCATTATTTTTTCCAATGGATACGGATTTTTCACATTTCCCTCTTTGTATTAATGTCGTATTGTATATATTTAGGATTCAAATGTTACAAAAATGAAATTGATAAGCTTCAACATGTACAAATTTAGATTTTAGGATTAACATGTTTTGAATTTGGGAAGATCCATTCTGCGGAGGGGTAGGTCACTCCACAGAGGGACCTCCGCGGATTGACGTATTATCTCCGCAGAATGAATCAAAAAGGAAAAAATGTGTCTCCGCGGAGGTGTAGGTCACTCCACAGAATGACCTCTAGCCTCCGCGGAATGACCTTAAATGGCTTTTTCCCCCTTTTTTTCTGCCCTTTTATATCAACTATTTATTATATAAAAAGTAAGTTGCTATTTATTTTGTAAACCGAATTAAAAAATTAATTTTGAAACCTTGTTTTTTTATTTTCACTTACTAACGTTTTATATTAAATTAAATGTATATGTTTTGTAGCACGATGATCTCAATCAAAAAGCAGATTTAACTTTAAAAGGCGTGGTCGGTACGATCATTAAAGACTATTTTCCGCGCCTAACACAAACGCAACGAGTATTATTTGAAGCTTCGTCATTTTGGAGATTCTTAGGAATGCATGCCCCCCTTGGTGACCCATTACTTCTGCATTTGATGATGTTGCATGAAGTAAGGTCTCAACTAGTGTTTGAAATGGGGAGGTTTCTTTTTGAGATACAGGGGATGCAGTTGGATTTTGGTGAAACTGAATATATTTTGATTTGTGGCTTAAGAGTTGGTCCTTATGTGGATTTACTCCATGACGAAAGAGGCCGGTCAAATTCAAATCTTCATGCTCTGTTGTTCCCAGACATTACGAATGCACGTTTGCGGCTGAAAGATTTATAAGACTACATTATGTCTCCGAATTATTTGTCACTTCAGGATGAAGATGTTGTAATGCTTATCCAACTTGTTTTTATCTTGAAAGATCTCCACAGATGGGACGTTAAAACGGGCATTCCCGCGGCAGTATACAAGCTTGTTGATAATATAACTGATTGGAACAAGTATTATATTGTGTATAAATACAATCAAAATTATAATAAATAAATTGAATATTGTAGGTTTGCATGGGGTACATATTTCTGGACCTATACTTCGGGATTGATGCGTGGAATTTTTGAGAAAATAGAAAATTTTAGAATATTCAAGCAGGCCAATCCCGAATCCAAGAAAGTATACAAGTGTACCGTTGCCGGTTTTATGCTTCTGTTTAAGGTTAGTTTCTAATGCATTTAAATAGGTATCACACTTTCGTTTTTTATACGATAATAACATTCTACTTCGGTTTGTATTATATAATACCGTTGTACTTTCATATTTATACTATAATAGCATCATACTTACTTTTTTTCCATAGATATGGATTTTGGAGACGTTCCTAGAGGCAACCTAGTTTTATATACGCATGCCGACAAAATTGCCACAAATAAGGTCGTGGAGAAGTAAAACACATTTATCTTGGGTTCAATGTCGTCAAATAATCAACGTGTATGTGGTATGATTTTTATATTATAACTATATATAATTACAAATTCCAATCTTTTTTCATGTTAAACTAACAATCTGATTTTTGCAGCCTAACAACCATCCTATTGTTGTCGTGGCAAATGCGACGGAGCTCATGTTGTCGTTTTATATTCGCTACATCAATTGGACTCTTAACCATGAAGAGTCTCCCCCACGGCAACATAGTTCACATATTTTTGGCTCGCCTCCTCGATGAAAGAAGTAGAATTCGGAAACGACTTCGACGGAAACTGCCACAAATGATTCTTCCTCGCAACAGCCTGAAGTAGAAAGAACTTATATGTCAAGTGACACATCAACAAGGTCGGTAAAGAAGAAGAAGATGAGCACAAAGGCATTGGTGAAGCGTCTAATAGGCGTTGTGGCTGACTTAACTTCTAAAGTAGACCGTGTATTACAGAAAAAAGATGAGCAAGATACATGGTTTGGAGAGGAGGAGGACATGGTAAATGAAGAGGAGGAAGAAACATATTATCATGGTACACAGTTGGAGTATGATGATACATCTACTCCTGGTTTGAAAAGGGATGTTGGGCGTACACCTATGCATGTTGAGCCGTCACCGGACGTGGGTGAACATCATAAAAAAACAGTGACTCCTATTGTTAGTCCGCAACGAAAGAGGGGTGTTGCATGGTATCCGCGGACGCCATTCACAGTGGTACAAACTCATTTTAATTTTGGTGTATTTATAAAATATTATGTTATTGATAATTATTTAACATTTTAATTTTTTAGATGCAATCCACACCAAAATTGAAGAAAATCACCAAACCAAGGAAAAAAGGAGTGAAGAGTCCTGAAAAAGCAAAGGAAGACATTGTGAATGAACAGAGTAATTATGTTTCAAATCATCTCCTGTTAGACAGTCTTTATGCTGCAAGTACGTTGGGTTTTTGGAAAGAATGGAATATGATATCTTCCAACCTCAACACTACACACAGGCTGCATATACTCCCACTGGATGTGGAGTTTTGGTCAAGGTTACTTGCAGTTACTGACTCTGGGTGGTTAATTTCTTCGGTAACATTCGTTAAATTTTAACTATTTTTTTAGACGATAATTTATATAAATAATTGTAACATTTTTATCTTAAAATGTACAGCATATTGCAATATGGAGTGGCTTGCTCATGGAAAGATGGCCGACAAACACAAGGTGGACGATATACCCTCAAGAACTCAATTTGCAACCTGGAAAATCAATTTTTTTAGGAATGTAGCAAATGGTATTGGAGACTATCCTAAATGGAAGGATGTGGATATGGTTAGTTAATTTTAATAATTACTTATTTATATATATAAGATTAGTAAATTTACAACTATTTAATTTTTTTGTTTGCAGGTTCTATTCCCCATAAACGTTGTTGGTGTCGATTGGTTTTTGGCAATGCTACATTTAAATACCTGGAAAGTACACATTTATGATTCATCACGATCTATGAATTTCTTCTCAAAGTACTTGATTGGTGGAGAATTCAAAAGTTTTGGGGATATTATTATCTCAGAGCTAGATGTGATTGAGTACTGGAACGATTTCCCCGATAGACACAAAGTCAACGCAACTGTGGAGTTTGTTGATATTGTACACGTGCCACAGTAGGAATATATTTAAGATAGAGGGGATTATGGAGTATTCGTATGAATGTTTATGTAAATGATTGTTTCGGGGGTATCGGTAAAGATTGATAAGCCACATAGAGATACGAGACTTCTCTACAGAAATAGGATGACAAATATTATTTGAGATACTATATAACTTGATTTTAGGAACTTTATACATATTAATATGAAATACATGTTTTTAGTAATTTTGTTTAATACAAATATGTGTTTTATTTATTTATTTTATTATATTTCTTTCATGGACTGCCAAGTCACTTCCGCGGACTGTCATTTCACTATAAAATGACTCAAAAATGTGTATCATTTCATCTAATCTATATCACTTCATCTACTTTGTATCTTTTACAATGGGTTCAAAACCATGGACCGCTGAGGAGTATTTGCTTCTAACTCGTGCCTATATTAATGTCTACGAGAACAACAGTTTGGATGATACAATGTTTTGGCTCCTTTTAACCAATACCTTCAACACTGACGCTGAACCCACCTTAGAAAACCATCACAGAACGCTTGATATAGCAGCAAAATGGTATGGATTGAAAACAGAATTTGTGTTATTCAATGATCTTTATAAGAAGATTGAAGACGCACGTGTGAATGATACTGAGGAAGACATCTTGGAGGCGGCTAAAGAAGAATACAAATCCATTAGCAACGGAGAGATTTTCAACTATGGAGCCCCTTGGAATATTTTGAAAAATCTCCCGTATTTTTAACTAGTACTGCGTATTGTATTGTGCTTGTATTGCTTTATTTATATGTAATATGGTTGAGTTTTTTTTGCGTTTTTATTATGTTATTTATCCTTTATTATTTGAAACATAATGCACCAAAAAATATAACGATACATTCAAACAAAAAAAAAACATTACAAATAACATAAAAACATTACAAAAAAAAACAGAAAAATAAACATTACGAATAAGATGTACGAATGACAAACATTACATAAAACATTACAAATAAATGAGTCGTCTACATGAAAAAGATTTATTTTTTACAAGATTCCAAATGTCCGTATGCTCGAAATCATTTCCATCAAACTCACATAGGTAATATTCGTTCACGTCTTCATAAAGTTCTTCATCGTCTGCATGAGAGCGTCGCATTTTCTCATAATTTTAGCATCGATTGAACCATGTGACTTTATTATTTAAATCCATCCATTTACTAACAATATCGGGTTTTAGCCGTTTTTGTCCTTGTCCCACCTCATGGTTGAACAAAGCTATTAGACGGGATCATTCATCAACAACAAGGCAATGAGGGGGATCCATTGCTGGTAGACCCTCGTAAACGGTAATCCAGCATCGTCTTAGGACTAACACCTCTGTTGTCATCCATGGAGATGTACCTTTTGTTGGAGCTGACACACTTGACGGATTTGCTGCATTCGAAGAAGTTGGTACATTAGAAGCCATTATTCGAAAGGATCCCTTTTGTGAATAAAAGATGTGAATTTCATATAGATACAAGCTTTATTATATAACAAGATAGTTTACGTGGACTGCCAAGTCAGTTATGCGGACTGATAAGTCAGTTACGCGGACTGTCAAGTCAGTTATGCGGACTGACAACTCAGTTGCGCGGACTGCCAAGTCAGTTATGCAGACTGATAAGTCAGTTATGCGGACTGCCAAGTCAGTTATGCGGACAGATAAGTCAGTTACACGGACTGTCAAGTCAGTTATGTGGACTGTCAAGTCAGTTACGCAGACTGCCAAGTCAGTTACGCGGACTGATAAGTCAGTTACGCGGACTGAAAAGTCAGTTACGCGGACTGCTAAGTCAGTTATGCGGACTGATAAGTCAGTTACACAGACTGACAAGTCAGTTACGCGGACTGTCAAATCAGTTACACGGACTGACAAGTCAGTTACGCGGACTGCCAATTCAGTAACTTCTGCAGACTGACAAGTCACTTCCGCGGATTGCCTAAACAGTTCTGTGGAATAATGAATACGTATTCCTTTTAAATTGGACAACCATTTTCATTTTTAGAAGGTGTCAAAAGTTGTGAAAATGAGTTCTGCCAATGAGGTATTCAAAAAAGGTTTCTCCAACCTACCGATTTTTTTCATAATCTACAAAGAACCAAATCCTAACACCTTCACATGCATTAAGAAAGATTTGTACAATTGTTTCCAATTTTATTTTGTGGCTTTGGGATGTGTCGTATGTAATCCTTTATAGTAATTTTTTGTTATTTGAAGTTGTTATATGGCTAATATTCTTATCTTTACTTGTAGATTCGTAGGCTTCTCACGTCTATGATACGAATCATATTCGTTGGTTACGTACCTATAATTGGGATGTACAAAACATCCATGTACATTACGATTGCTTTAGAAGGAAATCATGAACCCCTTCTCATAGCGTTTGCTTTGGGAACCATAAACTGTGACGAGTCATGGTTATGGTTCATGAGGGGGTTGAAAGAATGTTTAGGTGACAATACGGAAGTTGGTTTCATAAGCCATATGTCTAAATCCATAGACTTTGAAGTTCAGAGAGTCTACCCTGATTCTTATCATGACTATTGTTGTAAAAATATAGCTGAGAAAATACGCGCTTCCACCGGAAGCAATACAGTCGTGGAGCAGTTGTTCTGGAAGACATGTAAAGCGTATAATATGTCTGATTTTTATGCGTATTTGAACAGCTTACAAAATGAGCTGAATAGGAATGATCTTGACTAGCTTGACAGTATTCCCATTGCAAAATGGGTAGGAGCTTTTTCCCCTCAAGTACGTTTCAAAGTTAAATTCTTTGACATTCCCAATGTTATCAATTGGATAAGAACAAACAGTCATGAATTACCAATAACAACAATCATTCAAATGGTCCATGACTCGATGGAGTGTATGTTCAATGTGATGCATTTGGAGGTAATTATACATTATGACATCATTCAAATGGTCAAATGATCTGTTATTATACATTATGACATCATAATTTTTATTTGATGATTCAGTTCATTTCACAGGGGATTTTCATGGTCTTCTAACCCCTTATGCACTTAAGGTGCTTCATAGAAGATTTATCCACTCCAATGGTTGTAGGGTTACACATATTGTTGGCGAAAGATATGAAGTGAGTAAGTATTTGACCACCGAATCCGTGCAATTAGACCGTGGTATTTGTACTTGTGGGAAATGACAAAAATACGGTATACCTTGTGATCACGCTATAGCATCACTACAAAGGCTTGAAATTGAAGATAACCCATTAGTGTGTCGTTAGGAATATTTTATAATGCTAATTACATGTTAGGTACAATTATATTTTGTACCATAATTTTTTCCATAGTGACATATCATGTCCCTAGACATTAAATTGTGTAGTATGATGGATATAACATTGTTCTATAACTTGAGAGACTAATCATGTGTGGTTTCAATTTCTTTCCCCTAAGGTGTAACTGATGAATTTAATACCTGATGAATGAACGATCAAATGGAAACTTAATACATTCTTCCTTACGTTCAAACACTCTCTATAAACACCATCATCGTGAGTGCAAAAGGTATCAATCTATCCATCAGAAAATCAGAATGATACGGTTACGGGAAGAAAGGGAATCAAACTGTGGCATCATGTTCAACACCAATTGAAGTTATCATTCCTTCCAAGTGTTCATCATTTGGTTTAGGTTAACATAAATTGATTAATTTAACATGTGGTATCAGAGCCATGTTTAATTTCAGTTTTTATGCCCTAATTTTAATTTTAGTGTTTGATCGATGGTTACTCAATTCTTCTCTATGTACGAACCCTATGAAACCTATTGCGTAATAAATTTTATCAACTAATGTTTAAGGTTTGATGCTTGATGATCGATGAGTTATAAACTTTAAATTTACAAGAATCACCTGGTTATTTGATGTTATATGCATCCCTTTCATATCTATAGCAATGATCGCTGCATATATATGTTTATTGGGTTCTTTCCTATGGATCCCACCTCGTCTATAATGGATTACATCCCTAAAGTCTTCACGCTTTTCTTATATTGTTTAACTATTTCACTGACGGCTTTCGAGTAATTTAAATCGTGAGTTTTCTCAAGACCTTTTGATGGATAATTAGATTGCTAAAATATGATCGTAAATTCGTAATTATCCTTTATCATTTTGACATTTAATTCCTAATCACCAAAGAGGTTTATATGTCATGCCTTGAATTTAGTTTTTTTTTTTTTTTTTTTTTTGAACTCATTTGATGAAGATTTACTGCTTTATCTCGACTGTCCTATTCATTCCCACAACCTAAGAAATTTTTAGATTGAAATTCTTATTCAATTAGCATGTTTCGTGGTATTTTATTGATGCCTTAATAAAAGTGATTTCAAAACAAAATTGTTGTGTGTGGTGGTTGTGCAATTTTAGCCGATCCAACTCCGTGAATGGCATCTCATCCCACTATGATATAAATGGGCATATCATATTGTTTGTGATTTTGGCATTCAATTTCACCCATGACGAAATTAGGTTATTATAATTTGTGATGCAATTTGAATGCTACCAAATGCTACCGTATGTTGGTGTAATTTGAAAAGTTTAAGAATTGTTTAGTAAATTTGTTTTCCAATAATGGGAGAATTCAAATATAATGGGAGAATTCAAATATGGACATCACAATTAAGAGTATATTAAGTTTCTGCATATACCAAAGTTATGAAGTTCCGGTTATAACTTATTTGCTTCAATATCTTATTTGTAGTTTTTTACATTTTATGAGTATATACTCAAGTATGATGTCATCTTTTAAATGATATTAAAATATCATTAAATTTTTGATATTGGTAATATATGATAGAATCTAATGTCGATTCTTATTTTTGCATATAATATTTTTTTACCAATGATGAGTGGTAACTTTAATGTTAAATTTAAGCGACTGGACCAAAGAAAGGTTATTTAAATTTGATATTTAAGTTTATTGAATACCACATTAAGCAACTGTTTGAGTTATTAT